GACCGTCTGTCCTCCTCCTGTGCTGTGACAGAGGCCCTGGTGGAGGGCTGGAGAGGGGCACTCGGCCACGGGACGCTCCCACTGAGCCCCTGTGGGTCCTGGTGCTGGAGGCACGGTGCCAACTCAGTGAACCTCCCAGCCTTTCTAGGGAGGAGCCTTGGGTGGGTGTCCTTCCACAGCGGGGGCTCAGTGAGGCTGAACCTGTGGACGTTTGCAGGAGAAGGGGGCTCTGGAGCTGGCCACGGGGCCACTTCTTTGTCATTCCTGCCACCTGCCCCCACCTCCCTGCCCTGCCCTGGGATGTCCTCTCTGAGGCACTTCGGCTCCACTCACATNAAGGGCCAGAGTCTTCCAGGGGCCTCCGTGGTCCTGGGGGCCGAGGCCGCGTGTGCAGTGGTTAAAGCTCCTTACCACTGGACCTGGGTGACCCTAGGGAGTCGTTAAGGCTGTGCCTCAGTTTCCTCACCTGCAAAGTGGGGATATAATAGTATTTCCTTCATGAGGTTACGGAGGAGTCCAACATGAGGCTATGGAATCAGCAGGGATCAGCAGGAAGCCTGGCGCCTGGTGTTTCAGGGCCTCCTGGTCATCCCTGCCCCTCCCACTCTCAGGCACACTGGCCTTTCTGTCCTGTGGCGTCCCCACCTGTCCACCTCAGGGCCTTTGCACTCACTGTGCCCTCTATCTGGGTTGCTCTTCCTTCCTGCTTCTTCCTCCCTGGCCTGCTGTCTCGCTCCTTCATTGGGTCTCTGCTGAGCTGTCACACCCCCAGCCCTTCTGTGCTCTGCTATGTTTCTTTATTAAGAGATAGGGTCTTGCTGTGTTGCCCTGGCTGGGGTGCAGTGCTGCGGTCCTGTGTCACTGCATGTTTTGAACTCTTGAGCTCAAGCCATCCTCCTGCTCCCGCGTCCCTAGTAGCTGGGGCTAGAGGTGCACACTGTCACACTCAGCTAATTAAAAACAATTTTTGGTAGGGGTGGGATCTCACTGTGTTGCCCAGGCTGGTCTGGAACTCCTGACCTCAGGTGATCCGCCCCCCTCAGCGTCCCAAAATGCGCCCGCCCTCTGCTGCATTTTTGCTCGGAGGCTCCCAGCGCCTTCCAACATCGCCTTCCTCCTTGAACGTTGGCGCCTCCAGGACAGAGACCTTGCCCAGTTCCCCACAGAGCAGGGCCAGGCGCACAGCTCCTGGCACAGATGCCTGTTGCGAGGTGAGTGTGGGGAGGAAGCCGCCTTCGTCTTTGGGTGGGAGTTGGCAGGGGAGGCCCTGATTCTGTGCCTGCCCTGCTCTGGCACCCCTCTCTAGGAACGGGGTTGTGAGAGGATCCCTCCTGCGTCTAGCCAGCCCGCCCACAGTGTGAGCACCACAGCCAGCAGCCCCCACAGCCGAGAGGCCACGTCCCAGAGCCGGGGTGGGGACTCTTCACTGTGGAGGGGCTGGTGGAAGGTTCCCGTCTTCCACTAAGTGCTGGCTGGGTGGGGAGGAAGCCGGAAGGGGAGGCCTGGGCAGCTGGCTGGCTGGGCGCTCGATGGTGGTCTGGGTGGGCCTAGCCGTTCTAGAAACTTCCCTGTTTGCTGCTGGACACCTGGTTCTGCTGATGGCTAAGAGTGGACTCAGCTTGGTGGATGGTCCCGAGGGGAGGGGAGCCAGTCATGACCCAGGGAGTCCTCCAGCCCTCCTGGGTGGAAGGTAGTGGGGTGGCTGATCAAAGCCATGGGCTTGGGAGAGGAGGGCTGAGTGCGGATTCTAGCTTATTGCTTACCTAATAACACTGGAGTCTCAGTTTCCTCATTGGGAAACGCCTCCCTCCCCTGGTAGGATTTTGAGCACACGTGGCCTTTGGATGAGCGGTTCCCGCTCTGCCGTCCCTCCTGCCCTGCCCACTGGTCCCTCTGAGTGTGCTCACCCAGCCCCCTCCCAGCCTGACTCTGGCCCCTGCTGCCTCCACTCCCGCTGTGTGCTCGGCTCTGGGCTCCCAAGGCCACCCCAGCCCACCCTGGCTTCCTCTGGGGTCCCCGTGGCTCCACGCTGGCGGGCCATAGGCTTATCTAAAGAACCGGCTGGAATTTCAGGCATCTGGGAGGGATGAGACACTGGATGGGAAGGGGGCCTTTCTGGCCTGAAGTCAACTGGACACTCCTTCTCTGGGGCGGGAGCCTTCCCTTCCAGCTGCAGAGAGGAGTGTGGAGGCGGCGACCCTGTAGCTTACCCTCCCCTCCCCCATCATTCTCAGGGGCACGGCTGGCTGCCAGCCCTGATGCAGGAAGGCCCTCCAGGGCCAGCCAGGCTGGGGGTGCTCTCCGAGTTTCATTGTTGACCAGCAAGGCATCGCTGTGGGGCTGACATAGTTGGTCAAGTTTTTGTTGTCAGTTTTCTCTTGAAAAGAGAAAACCCAACACCACTTTTTGCTCTCACTAATATTTCACAAAGGAAAGGGAAAATCACCAAAAAGAGGAAGGAGATGATCATTTTAGAGTGACAGCCTCCCAAGGGAGGCCAGGCGGCTTCCTCGGTCAGCCGTTCTGAGCAGGGGACCACAGTAAAGTGTGATGAGTCTTTGTGGACTGGAGTCAGGGGATGGAGCTTTGGGGCTTGTTAAAAAGGTGGCTCGCCATCTGGGGGTGAGGACAGGCGCTTCTGGGGAGGGGCTGCCCAGCCTCTGCCGGCCAGTAGGAAGCTGGGAATGCCTTCCGGGTTTTGTGTTTCATAGCGAAAATCTTTGTCAGCTTTGCGTTCTAATCCACAAGCTGTCATGTTGGTTATGTCACAAAAGTGTTTTCTTTATCAGTTCGATCTTTGAATCAAAGCAAGATGGAGTGTGAATCTTCTTCAGCAAGCTCCAGGCACACTGCCCACTCCCCGCAGTGTCTGTGTGCCCCAGTTTGGGAGTCAAAAGTTGAGTCTGGGCTTTGGAATTGATCAGCTATGGTGTCCTGGCTCTCATGCTCCTTATCTGCGTGACACACCTGACCCTCCGTTTCTTCATCTATAAAATGGGACCAACAGTCGCCACTTTGGGGTGACCTAGGGATATGAGCCCAACGAGGAGGGGATTCAAGGGTGGTGGGCCGCCCAAGGTAAGCCCTTGGAGGCGAGATTCCCTGGTGGTCATACCTTGTGCTGTGAGCTTTGTGGAACTGAGCCAGAGGGGCACGTGTAGGGCCCTCAGCGGGGCTCATAGGGAAGGAATTTGTTGGGGAGGGGTCCACTCTGGAGTGAGAGCTGAGCTGGCAGCATCTACCCTGAGGGAGGGCAGGTTGACAGATGCCTGTCCCCAGAGCTAGCCCCTCCTGCCACCCGAGGGACAAGGAGGCCCTAGGTATGGGGGCACAGAGGAGCCAAGGAAAGGGGCTGAGGCCTGGCTCAGGTCCCCCTTTTGGGGCAGCCCTGAGTACGAGAGCTGAGGGGGTGGGCCCCACGCCCCAGAGTGCTGGGCCTTTCCTGGCGGGGGTTCGTCTTGCTGCCCTGGGTTTGCTCTTGGTTTCCACGTCTCTGGTTTTCTCTCGGGCTCTTTCCTCATTCCAGGCTCTTCCACGGCCTCCCCTGACCTCCCCCTGCCTCTTGCTTGTCTCTGTGGCTTCTTTGTGGTTCCTGCCACCTTCCTAGTGTGCTCAGAAGTGACTGGAGGGCCATGGACAGGTGGCTGTGCCAGGAAGGTGTGTGTGAGCGTGTGTGGGCATCATCTCATACTGGGGGTGTCTGCTGCAGGTGCATGGCCGAGCTGGCGCTGCTGTGTGGAGCCCTGAAGGCTGGGGAGCATTCTTGCCTCCTGGGGTGGAATGCACTTACCTTTAAAGTCACTGTGCCTTTGGCAGGTTGGAAGGCAAAACTGCTAAGGGTGTGGCTAGCTGCTAAGAAGCGTGTTGTGTGTTCTGGGCTTGCTTCCTGGGACTCACTTCCCCAATGCCCCTGGGCTCCGTTCCGCGGCAGGAACCTGGGCCACTTCTCTCCTTTGCTGCCACACCCAGGGCTGCTGCAAGGGGCCCAGCTGCCCGTAGCTTTCCCAGGGAGGCTGGGACCTGCATTCTAGCCCCTCTGTCCTTGGCTGCAGGTCTGGGTGCCCTCCCCTCCCAACCTGAGGGTGCAGAAGCAGCTCTGAGGGGGAGAAGAAGGCCTAATCCGTCACCAGGAAAGTGTTAGCTTCTGGGCTAATCACTTCTGCTCTGAAGCTGCCGACACCTCTGCACGTGTGGCATCACTGGGCTCCGAGGAGGGAGACCGAGTTTCCCGGGGCTGGATGAGACCAGGAAGCTGCCCCTTGTGCCGTTGCCAGCCTGGTGCCACAGCCCATAGGCAGTGTGGCCTCTGAAGGAACTGTGAGGGACCAGAGGGCAGCTGCTTGGCCGTGGGTCTGTCTCCCTTCTTACTTCTCAAAGCAGACAGACCTGCATGATGACGCTTTTTCGCCGCCACCACAAAGCCACAGAATCCAGGCTCTGCTGCTTCTTAGCTGCAGAGCCAAATCCCTCAGTGCCTCAGCCTTTCCTTTCTTATCTCTAAAGTAGGGGTAATAATCTGCGGCTCTGAGCATGGTGTAAAGGTGAAATACCTGAGGGCAATGAGCATGCCTCTTCACTAAAGGAAATTGGGGTTCCTTGGAGAAATGGCAGATTCCAGGGCTGGGGCAGGGACAGTGCAGGCTGAGCCTGGAGCATCTGGTAGTGGCAGAAAGTAAGGACGCGCTCGCAGACGAATGAGCACGTGTCCGAAATCTCCCACTGGTTGTACTTGGGACGTTTGAACATCAAAAAGAATAGTGAATGCAAAACGAAGCACTCAGGATATCCTCACCGCCCTCCTCCCCTCCTCGCAAAGGCAAGACTGGGGAAGCTCGTCTTTGTGGAATGCCGGGTCACGTGGAGGAGACTGGGTGATGGTGGGTTCCAGCCAAGATGTGACTGCAGTGCTTCTCAGGCTTCACTGCGCATACAGTGCGCCAGGGGACCTGTTAAAGGGAACACTCTGTTTCAGCCAGTCTGCAGTTTTTTCTCTCCCCCAGGCTCTCGGAAGACCGGGATGAAGCTGCCTGCAGACCTCACGCTGAACAGCAAAGAATGATGGATGGTAAAGGCATTGTGCAGAAAGTTCAGCAACTTTTTGCCTTGCCACAGTGACAGTGATTGCCCTGCAGACGACTAAGAGAAAAGTGACCTTTCTTTCCAAGAGACCTGGCAAACGTGACTCAGACCCAGTGGTCAAGCTTAACACAGCTGTAATGTGGTCGGAAGGCTGCCGGACTCTCGCCAAAGCAGCATTTCACCTGAATGTCATCATAAGGAAACAGATGGATCCGGTTGGGGGCGGGATTTTCCAAGTGATTGGTTTTCACTCTTAAAAAGATACCAATATCAAGAAAGAAAAAATAAAAGGATGACATTGATTAATAGGCAGGCGGGGAACATTCTGGGCTAAAGGAAGAAGAGACCCGACAATCAGAAGCAATATGTGAACTACAGCTGGATCCTAGACTGAAAAACAGACAGCCCGGACGTACAGTGCACCTGGGGGTTACCCAAGGATATCTGAATGTGGACCGTGTGTTAGATGGTGTTTTAAAATATGTATTAAATGGATCAGCGGTGCTCACGGTATCACGGGGATTTCCGAGCACGTTCTTGTTCTTAGGGAATATGTTGCAGTATTTAGGGGAGAAGCATTCTGGAGTGAAGGTCATCCCAGTGGCTGGGCATGGTGGCTCATACCTGCAATCCCAGCACTTTGGGAGGCTGAGGTGGAGGATCACTTGAGGGTAGGCGTTCGAGACCAGACTGGGCAACATAGTGAGGCACTGTCTATACAAAAACTAAAAATATTAGCTCGGTGCAGTGGCCTGTAGCCCCAGCTACTTGGGACGCTGAGGTGGGTGGATCGTTTAAGCCCAGGAAGTCTAGGCGGCTGTGAGCCGGGATGGTGCCATGCACTCTAGCTTGGGCGACAGAGCAAGAAAGGAGAAAAGCAAAAAAAAGCAAATGAACGTGGCCACGGGGTAACAGTTGATTGGCGAATCTGGGTGAAGGGTAGATAATAGTCTGTAGCATCTTGTCTGCTTTCTTTGAGGTTTCTACTTTGAAAATAACAAGAGGGAGGGGCACATGAAGTGTGGCGGTGAGTGGTGGGCTTAGAACCTCTGTTCCTCCCTCTGCTGTCTCGTCGGGGCTGCTGTGGCCTCCTGCGTGGCACCTGGATTGTTGGAGGCCACCCAGACCCTCTGTCTGGAAGTGTGCAGCAGGCTTAGGCAACTCCACCTTCGGAGTGGGGATGGGGAGGTGTGAGCAGCAGCCAGGAGGGGGTTCTCTGCGTCTGGATGCCGGGCAGCTTGCATTGAGAGATGGACTTGCAGGAGGGGTTGTGTGCTGGGGGGCTAGGTGACTATGGCGTCTGCAGCACTGTCCTCAGACTGGCCCCCTCTACCCCTGGGGTTTGTGACTCCCCTTGTATCCCTTCACCACTGCCACCCCAGCTGATGCATCAAGCAGGCAGGAGAGGGGAGGCAGGAGAGGGGAGGCAGGAGAGGGGAGGCAGGAGAGGGGAGGCAGAGGGACTATACCCCTTCCCTGCCTGGGCCCCTACCATGGCCTGCCCACACCAACCCTAGTTTTGGTGCAGACTTGTCCTGCGATGCTCCTGGCGGTCCCTGCAAGGCCTCAGAGCTGGTGACCGGGGAGGCGGTCAGCTGGCTGACCTGCCCTCTGTCTCTCCTGCAGGGGCCCCTGGAGCACCAGGGCAGGAAGACCCTGGAGGCCAGCCCTGTGTCATCAGCCACAGCACCCCAGCTTGGCTGACCCCAGCCGTGCTTGGGAGAGGGTGGAGGAGGAGGGGCGAGGACAGATTCACAGGGGCACAGCTCTCAGGAGGAAGGGAGGGAGCCTGGACACAGAGGCAGTGGGGGTGCAGAGTATCACCTTTGTCCCGTGCTAGGGGTCCTCCTCCCTTTTGCTTCTTGGGGTATCTCCCTCAGGACTGGGCTCAGGGAAAGCCTGGCCGAGTGTCTGGCAGTGGCCTTCCCCCTGCCCACCTGCCCGTCCTTTGTCTGTGTCTGCCTGCCCGGGGAGCCTCAGTGAGAGGCCGCTAGGGCGCGAGGGTTGCATCCTGTCCCTGTGGCCCCTGACCGCAGGCTCTGCTGAGAGGAAGGGGCAAGGCGGGGCTCACTTCTCAGCCCACCCTTCCTGCACAGGCAGCCGGGCGTGCGGAGGAGATGATGCGGAAGGTGAGGGCCTCATGAATTTTTTGGGGTCTCAGTAGCTGGGTAGTGGGTGCCTGGGTGGGGAGATTTGCTGGATAAGGCCCCCCTTCCATGTGTGGGGGGTGGGGTGCTGGGAACTCTGCAGCCACTGAGATGCCTCCAACCACAGCGGGGACCAGGGGATGAGGGGTGTAGCCGGCTGGTCGAGGAGCCCCCCGCTTTCTCCCAGGCCCTGGCTGGGACCAGAGTGGCTGGGAACGTGGCCCTTACCCCTCCTCCCTTCAGCTTTCCTCCTGGGTCCCTGGGCTGGTCCTTCTCATGGCCTGGGAAGTGCTTCTCCCTGCCCTGGGCCAGGCCACTTAGACTGTGGATGTGTGTCCCCAAGTGCAGGGGACCTGCTGCTCTCTGGGGCTGAGGGCGGGATCAGAGACCCCGGGAGGGGCTGCTGGGGCACAGCCTGGTCAGCCCAAAGACCCGCCCCCTCCTCATCCTGGTGGCTGGAGCTCCCGGCCCCTCCTGACTTGGCCACTTCAGGCTGTGTACTGATTTGTTTGTGCTCCCCTGCCATCTGTCACTCAGAGGTGAGGACACTTCCCTTGTGAGGAGTCGGCCCTGGTATCTTGAAGTGCGTGCACGGTGGCTAGGTGGGTGCTGTAGGTGGTGAGCTGCTCCTGGCTTAAACAGGACGGGCCTGGGCGCCTTTCCTCTCTCTGGGTTTGGTGGCCGGGCACTGACTGTGCCCCATGACTCACACTATGGGTCAGGGCCTTGCCTGCCACGTGGGGGCCGTAGGAGGGTGGCAGGACTCCCTGTACCCACAGGGAGAGGCTGACGCCAGGGCCTTCTGTCCTCTCACTGGGCTGTGACAGAGGCCTTGGTGGAGGGCTGAGGAGGGGCACTCGGCCACGGGACGCTCCCACTGAGCCCCTGTGGGTCCTGGTGCTGGAGGCGCGGTGCCAACTCAGTGAGCCTCCCAGGCTTTCTAGGGAGGAGCCTTGGGTTGGTGTCTTTCCACAGCGGGGGCTCAGCGAGGCTGAACCTGTGGACGTTTGCAGGAGAAGGGGGCTCTGGAGCTGGCCACGGGCCACTCTTTGGCATTCCTGCCACCTGCCCCCACGTCCCTGCCCTGCCCTGGGATGTCCTCTCTGAGGCACTTCGGCTCCACTCACATCGGACTTGGGCTGAGGACGTGGTGAGAGGAAGCTCTGATGGGAGGTGATTGGGCGTGGCACCAATCAGGCTCCCGGGACTCTTGGCTCTGTGGCCGCCTCTGCTCCCTGGGCCTCTGTGTGTCTCGTCGTCTGCCAAGTTATCAAAGCCTCCTGTTTGTTTATCACAGAGTGAGCATGCATGGTAAGTGTGTGATGAGTGTAAGTGGAACTGACTGTCTCAGGCGCTCTCCCCCCATAACCCTGGACAGAGTGCAAATCCTGGCCTGCGCCGCAAGGCCCTCCTCCTCACCCAATTCCTACCCATCCTTAAAAACCCAGCACAATTGTCCTACCCAGCTCTCCTGAGTGGGTGCAGGGCCATCCCCTCCTGGACACCTGGAGTCCCCTGTGTCCCTCTGTGGTCTGCCTGTGAGCTCGGCACAGGGTAGGTCCCACTAACCAAGAGTGGAACGGATGGAGGGGGAGACCTGTGTCCCAAGGCTCCCGGCTTTGTCCCAGCTCCTGTTCTGGGGCAGGAGGTGCCCAGCTTGTTTTTCCCTGTGGTAGCCACACCAGGAGTTCCTTGAGGATGGGGACCCCAGGCCACGCGCCTGCGTTCCCTCATCAATGAAATGAGGGTGGGTGCAGTGAGGATGGCGTGTGGCCAAGGCCAGCCTCACCTGTCAGTCTAACCTGGACCTCCGCCATGCTGTGGTCTTGTCGTTCCTCCCATTTTGAAGGTGGGGGCACTGGAGGGCCAAGAGCTTCAGCAGCCTGAGGTCCTGCAGAGCCAGGAGGCTGGCTCAGCCTCAGGCTTCCGTGCTGCCACGCCCTCCACCCCTCCATGCCCTCCACCCCTCAGGGCTGAGGGCTTTCTGTACTTTACCCTTCCATTTGGCCTAGGAGGAGCCTGAGGGTGAGAGGCGGGTGTTTAGTTTAAGGTTACGTCTCTGCCCCCAAAGCCCGCAGTTCAGATGAGCAGCAGCCACCAAGAATATCTTGCGTGGCTGTCCTGTGCTTAGCCCTGTGTGAGTGCTGGGGACACAGATGACTGGGACAGTGTCCCTGACCTCAAGCTTTCATTCAGGGTGAGGGCACGAGGCATGCAGGCATGTCATATAGCAGAGAGGAAAGGTCCCAGGCTCTAAGTGCTGCAGCGTGTTCTGAGGGAAGGAGAGATCAGGGACAGTTCACAGTGATGTCACCTGAGCGAGGTTTTGAAGGATGCATAGCAGTTTGTCATTTGCACATAATGTGTGTGTATCTGTGACTTCTGTCAAGCATCTTGGGATGCCATCAGCCTGGACATGGTGTGAGGGCTGGTGGTGTCAGTCAGGCCCATCTGCCAACTGTGTGAAGGTTGCTCTGTACATCACCCTCTACACATCGCCCTCTGCACATGCCCCTCTGCACATCGCCCTCTGCACATCACCCTCTGCACATCATCCACTGCACATCTCCCACTGCACATCGCCCTCTGTACATCGCCCTCTGCACATGGCCCTCTGCACGTCGCCCTCTGCACATGGCCCTCTGCACGTCGCCCTCTGCACGTCGCCCCCTGCACGTCGTCCTCTCCACATGGCCCCCTGCACATGGCCCTCTGCACATGGCCCTCTGCACATCGCCCTCTGCACATCTCCCACTGCACATCGCCCTCTGCACATCGCCCTCTGCACATCGCCCTCTGCACATCTCCCCCTGCACATGGCCCTCTGCACATGGCCCTCTGCACATCTCCCACTGCACATCGCCCTCTGCACATTGCCCTCTGCACATCGCCCTCTGCACATCTCCCCCTGCACATGGCCCTCTGCACATCGCCCTCTGCACATCGCCCTCTGCACCTCTCCCTCTGCACGTCGCCCTCTGCACCTCTCCCTCTGCACGTCGCCCTCTGCACGTC